ACCAGTGTCCTGTCCTAGCCTATGAGATTGGGCACCTATCGCGTTTCGTACGCCCACTCATGATTTCTGATAGCTTATAACCGTCAGCAAATTCGGTGGGTTCGACCTCGCGGGGGATTGATATTGCTGATAAGATCGAGGAGGTGAGTAACAAAATGCAGTTCAGTAGAAAATGAGGCTGACGGAACAACAAGTTTATTTACCTGGAGTTTCGGATTCCCAATAGAGCCCATCATCAGAGACATTCGCTTATGAGAATGCTAATGGCACAAGACAAGCAGTATTTATGGGATACAATTCGGATGCCAACCTGCGTCTACCATAATTAGCAGTTCCGCGTTCATTACTGTGGTCATATTTGATGTGATCATCGCCTTTTAGACCGTACCCGAGTCGGTACATGCCGTAATTTAGTCACAGTTGTTGTTTCTGGGCGTGATAATTACTCATCAGTTTGTCTCGCTGTCACTGAAACTTTTAGTCGCCCGCGCCCTCCCCATGGGGCTAGTCACACCGCCCACTCAGAGTTGACGCAAAATATAGAGGCGGAAGGTTATTGTGCATGCTAACTAACTAAGGGCCGGAGAACCATGACTGGAGCAGCTCGCGATTCATGTGATTGTCCCCACTTGTTAAAATTCCGGCCTCGTCTTTCCTGGAGGTGTGCCCGGGTCCTGTCGAATACACCGCGACTAGAGGGCTAATGCATTTTCGGGCGTCAGAGTCCAGCGCAGTCTTCCAGTTTTTCCAACGTAGTCGCTTTATCTGCAACTGCAGAAAATCTGGCAAACGACCCCGGGCCTTCCCTGCCGTGACTGTTGGTCTTTCAGCTTCGTTACTTGGCGCCCGATAGTTGCCTCTGGTCTGTGTGCAAATCGAAATCCCAGTAGGCTGAGAAGGTGGCTGACGTCTTCCGAGACGTCCTTCGCGTAAGGAGACGTTGACCAAAATTTGACCTCTCTTCTCTTTTGTTCACGCAGCGGTTGACTTCGCACAAAGCAGCTGTCGAAGAGACTGTAATTCTGCAGACTTGCCTTCCGGCTCACTGCAGTGTGTCTCGACGCGCTGGCATGGTGCTCTTACGTGATTGCGTTTGTCGTCGATTGGGTGGTTGCTGTTATAGCTCAACACATGCGCCTTATGTATCTCTTTCCTGAATACCTTGGCCCTTTAGGTCACAGCAATCTTTGCAACAAACGACGACATAGGGGTAAATCAGCTGGTTGTCTTTTTCTTCTTCTCCCTCTTCTTCTTCTTCTTCTTCTTCTTCTTCTTCTTCTTCTTCTTCTTCTTCTTCTTCCCTATATTATTGTCATTATTATTGTTGCCTCTCCTTCATCGCACATTGTGTATACGAAAGGTAGGATCGAGATGCTCTGTGAATGTCAGCCGTTCAGTGAGGACGAGATCGTCATCCATTTACTAAGTGTTGGAGGACTAACGAATCCAACCACTGCAGAACCGCCTCGGCCGAGCTCCGAAACCTGTGGACCATTGGTGTGCTTTGTGGATATTGTACTCACGAATAGCAGTTACGAGTCTTAACCATACCCATCAGCTTGACTAAGAAATGTGTTAAGAGAATCCAGTAACTAAACAAAATTACTGTTCCAGAATCCCACGGCCTGATCTCTAAGCTCACTGGTGATATGCATTCCTCATTCAGCCTTGTTCCTGGTTGCGTTAAAACAACCAGCGTAGTTAAAGAACAGTTACCAGACTGTTCAAGATCAGTTAGTCTGGCTGGTGCCTTTCAGCCATTCGCTGACTGTTCCGTCGAGCTTGAAGTACGTCGTTAGACAGAGCTGCAGCAGTTGGCGGATTTGAGCGTGTTCAGAGGCGCTCTCCATTCCATCGGTTCAAATGAGAATCCGCACCGTCAGACCAATAAACCGCCTTTTCTAGCGACCATATCGTCTGCTAAGGGGGCCAATGCCTCACTCGGTTGGAAGTTGAATTTGCAAAACCCTCTGCTACACAGATAGAGAGGGTATCTGGCTTGAGCAAATCACACCTCGGTCCCCCAAATACCGCTTGCTGTCCTGTTTCGCTTAATCAGTTACCGCCTTTCTCAATCTGGTGTTCTGTGGAATACAGTCGGACCGCGTGGTGCGGTTGACATACACATCTCAAAGTCCGATCTTGTGTCTAGTGATAAAGCCTGGACTATACAATCTCGCCCTGACCTCTAGCTTCGCCATAGGGCCCGACAGAGTGTCTGGCGTTAATTAGCACAATCCAAGCATACGCGAACACAGTGATTACCGAGAGGGGTTCCGTCTTTATTTCTGTCGGGAAAGTTCTATTTGTCGTGTGAGCCAAACTCCCAGTTACCAAGTGGGTTTACGATGTCTGAGAAGGTTAAACCATGTATGCAAGTAATTTATTTCGCCTTTTACATGAAAAACTGCACCTTTGTATTGTGAGAGTCAAACGCTAAAATCGACTTATCGAGAAGTTTTCAAATAGAAAAGGATTATCTGGGTGACTTCGTAAACCTTGTAAGAAGTGAAAAAAGTTCAGCGTTCAGCTCAACAGCTTATTCGGCTGCATAACTGAGTAACGACCGACAAAGCTTCCACTTACTAAATGGGTTTTCGATGTCTGAGATTTGTCTTGAAGAAGGAGACACGGTCGATGGGACAGGCGCTTTATTAGCCTTACGTTTCGGATTCCTGCCGGAACCCATCATCAGAGACAAAAACAGATACGAGTGCTTCGTGCACAAGGAGCTGCAATATTTGTAGGATGCAGTCGCCGTGCTACCGCATACCTGTGAATATTCATGTCTCCCCCTTCATCAGGGATCGTTGCGCGGGATGTGATGACTCTTTGATGGTCGACACTTTCGACGTTAATTGCTGCAATCTCATCACGTGCGTTGGATTTTGGTGCGATGATTGCCCGAGCATCTGACGCACCGACCCTGGTGTCGGGAAAAGTGTTCACCTGTGCGCCCCCGTGTGGCTAATTACTCCGCCTAGGCGAAGCCTCAGCACCGAGTATGGAAGGGGAGACCATTGCACTTGTTAATGGACCGAGGGCCAGTAAACCATGACTCAAGGAGCTCCCGGCTCACGCGGTTGTCACCTCTAGCGAAACGTCAGGCTAATAAAGCTCTTGTCCCATCGATCGTGTCTCCTTCTTCAAGACTGCTTCCTGGGACTCGTCTCTTCGCTTCTATTGACAATGTCTGATAATGTTAAATCATATATTAACAGAATGGAAGTATGCAAATAATTTATTTCACCCTTTGCCCAGATAACTGCGACTTCAGTGAGGCATGCAATTAAAGAAACGGGGGGGACCGACTTATGTTGGCCAGGAAATGGAAACAAGTACGTCCTGTCCAAGTAATAAATGTGGACCTGTGCATAACCCTGGAAAGGGCGAAATATTCCCATGTCCTAACTCCAACCAGAGTCCTAATATAAAACTAAACCGTTGGGCTAATATTGACCCTAACCCTACCCTAAATCTTAACTCTACGGTTAAGACTAGCCCCCACCTTAACCCTAAACTTGGCCCCGACATAGCTTACCGTTAACTTCATTTTTGGCCTTAAGCCTAGTTCTTAACTTAGCCCTAACCCTAACCTTAAACCTGACCTTAATTTCACTGGAAGTTGGCTCAAAGCCACCCAGATTGCAGGCGGCTGCTGTTCCCATGTCCTGTTTAGAGGGCCACACAAATCAGTCCTATCAAAAAAAAACTAGTGCTGGGATGTTATCCAACCATATTTTTAAGCATTCGGAAATATGCAGAGGCGTGAATTTCCATACACGACTGTTGTGTTATCACTTCAGTAGAGGAAATGTGGTGCAGATCGACCGTCAGCGGGGATTAGACAAGTTCCAATAAACGGTATTGGCTGCCCTACCTATCAAATGGCTGAGGAGACAGCCATTTCAGTTGCCGTGCAGCCTGAAGCGCACGCTTCGTGTCACGGGTCTGTAGAAAAAGGCCAAAAGTACTTTCACCCAACGGCCTACTGTCTCCAGAGCCACCCAACTTCACTGCAAAGGATGTTGGAACGCGCTGGCCCTTCAGACCGACTGATTACCTTGACGGGCTGCAACGTGGACACATGCACGTCCAAACATTTATGGTCGACCACATCTGCGCGCGAACTGGGGGAACAAGGCCATTGGACCCGTGGCCATGGCGCCATGAGAACATTCGACGCCAGACTGTCTTTCCCTGTCAGGCAGTAGTGATGTGGTGGCTCTACTCCGGGCGCCTGTTACAACGCTGCGCCTCTCGCGAGTGCATGCCCGTGCGCGCCAATGACAGGCTAGTTCTCAGCCAATCAGGGCTGTGCAAGTCCGCCAATCATATTCAAAGCCGGCTCAGGCGTTCTATGACTCAAGGCGCTGTTTTAGCGTCCGATGAAGTCGAGGGAAGCGCACGCGGTTGGATAGGTCACGTGGAATAGCCATTAAGTAGGGATTTGTTAAGCACAACATCAAGCACACATATATCGATATAACAAGGAAGGGAGTAGAGACGTAAAAAATGCGAAATAACGAAACAGGAGAGCAATGAGGTACAGAACGCATTATCCATTCGAAATGGAAGGTGGTCCCACCATATCAGTTAACCTCTGATGGAGATTTTAACGCTGTCCGCAACTGCAAGGAATGGTCATGGACTGTGCACACGGCAGAGGATACGAGTGATTAACGACCAGCGGGAGTGGAAAGAGACGTCATCGTGTAGGATATGAGATCAACTTAAACCACGCACAATAAGTTCGTTTCGTCTAATGTCAGCAGTCAGGGAGCTGTGAGGAATAGGTTATTCTGTACACAGGGCAGGTTGCCGTAATTTGGCTGTTTGCTTGCAACAGAGATAAGCATTCGTTCACGGAGAGCGTCAGTCGGGTTGTAGAGTTTCTCGGGGGGTGAATGTCTGTGTCAGTAGGTGGGGGTGACTAGCTGAGAGCTGGTCATGAGATTGTACGGATTAGGGGGAGGCATAATCACAGGGGCTCGTGGGTATCAAGTCAGGTCGTCCGACGCGCGTGAGGTGATGATAGTTTGTGACGACAGCCGGGAGTCATTGCAGCTGGACAGGAGGGGCCCCAATTCTAGCCGACGGGGTGGTCGTGTGCCAGCGGCCTGGCAACGACTGTCGCGGCCATCGACCGACAAAACGGAGCCGGAGAAAAGGGAGACTAGAGCGACTGCTACAAGAGTGAAGGAATGGTGCAGACAGCCATCATGACCATGCCGGGCGTTCTTGTTCAAGGTCCCGTTGCGTCAAGGCCACTTGCTTGGTTCCACTCGTGCTGACCTTCAGCCACTCGACTGGCTTCTACTCGGACTCATGTACGTCCAGTGTCGTAGCTGCCCATGCGTCAGTTGAACATCCCCCCCTCCTTGAGAGCCCAATATTATCTACTTAAACAACACCACGCCCCCCCCCCAACAAATCAACGCGCACTAATTGGACGCCAATTCAGATTGCCCACAAACCTACAAAAACGGTTGCCACCACTGCCTCATGGATTCTCAAGCATGACTGGGCGCAGTCAACACCAGCCCTGGCCTCGCCAGCGTCCACTTCTCCCAGGGGGGAGGAAAACTCGGCGTTCTGTATACAATAAAATCCTCACTCTGGTCACGTCTGTCTTTCCCTACAACTCAGGATTTGGCCTGCCGTTTTATAGTGCTCTGAGCACTCTTAGTCCACAGGAACACCGGCCATCCTCTCTGGCACGTGGTCATACCATTCCCACTCAGGACCTGCGCCAACAGTAACCTCAGTCTATTCAAACAACTCTGTACATTCCGTTGGGCGCTGCACTGTGACGCATTCTCCATTATCACTCGGGGCGCCGCTCTCATGGCACCGGACGTGTTCTCTCGTCTGGCGCTAACTTATTCCAACCGGTTCTCTAGTCTTTCTGTACAGAATGGAGCATCCTCTGCCAATAGCAGAGAAGAGACGAGTGCCTTCAAAGCCAACGGCTCTCCGCGCAACTTCGTCAACCGGTGCATACGCAAAAGGGACGAAAGGCCTAACCGAACGGACACCAAGTCTTGGCGGGCACTTCCATATGTCAAGAACGTTTCGAAAGCTGTCGGCCGCCTTCTCGCACCACTTGGGGTTGGAGTGGCACACAGACCGGAGGCAACCATCAGGCGTCTGGTCATGAAACCGAAAGATCCACTGCCACGGCTAGAAACGTCTGGAGTCGTTTATCGGATCTGGTGCAGTTGCGGACAAAGCAACTACGTTGGAGAAACCGGACGACAGCTCTGAACGAGAATGGCCGAACACGCGGCAGCGGTGCGCAGAAATGACGCCAGCTCTCAAGTTGCGGCTCATTCGACGAGATCCGGCCACAGATTCAAATTCGATGGGGCCGAAATTCTCGCAAGAGGTGACAACCGCGTGAGCCGGGAGCTACGGGAATCATGGTTTACTGGCCCCCAGTCCATCAACCAGTGCAACGATCTTCCCACTCCATACTCCGTGCTAAAACTTCGCCTAGGCGGAGTAACAAGCCATGCGGGGAGCGCAGAGGTGAACACTTTTCCCAACTCCAGGGTCGGTGCGTCAGATGGTCGAGCAGTCATCACGCCAACATCCAACGCACCTGATGAAATTGCAGCAATTGTCGACTCGAATGTCGGCCATCAAGCAACGATCACACCAAGTGCGACGATCCCGGATGAAGGGGGAGCCGTGAATGTTCATAGGTATGGGGTAGCATGGTTACTGCATCCTATAAATACCGCAGCCCCTTGTGCAGCAACCACCCGTTTCTGCTCTTTTGTCTCTGATGATGGATTCGTGTAGAAATCCGAAACGTCAGACTAATAAAGCTCTTGTCCCGGCGATAGTGTCTCCTTCTTCAAGAGACTCCCAGCAACTTCTGTTTGTATTCTGGATCGGGCCTGAATGACGTAGTGGCTAGGGTCAACCCCGTGGTTTCAGCTGCCGCGACAGTGACTGAACAGAGATCCTGCCTTGACCTGGTATCCTCCGTCATGCACTGTCAACTAACACCCGACCAGATTATCGCGGCATCTAGGACATCTCCATCGCTCAGGCCGCCACAAGTCTGCCTATGAAAGGAAATTAGACTCATGGGTATCGGTCGCGGTCTCGTAGCTCAGGTAGTTAGAGCGTTGGCTTTACTGAGGCCTTGTTCTCGCTGTCGTGAGTTCGAACCTCGACGGGATCGGCGAGTTATTCATTAATGGGTCAGTTGCAGTTCCTTAAGAGTCGATGCCAAGGAAGCATTTCAGGTTGTCTACCGGACACCAACATGCTTCTCTAAAGGCCTACGCCAACGAATACTAGCAACGGCCGAGGCAGTGGCTATGCGACTAGCGGATCCGGCGTTATTCTGTCAGAAAACCCTGACCCAAGCGCTCTCCCTGCCGTGGCCAACGCCAACCCGAAGTGATGACAACATGCCGCCTCAAATCCCTGATGGGTACTCCGTGTACTCAAACCAAGAACATCACTCAAAGACTCTCGTACCCCCCTCCCCCAGCTCTAAGGACCAAAACCCGCCGACCTCGTCATGCGGGCGGCGTGGGGGAGATGAGTGTTAATAACTTAATCGCCCTTACGATACCAATAAGCACTGTTAACTTTGTACATTTTCATTCCTTCATGTAACTGTATTGGCCTGACGAAGAGTTACCGAAAATACGTGTTTGCCAGCTTCACTTTTTAACTTTAATTGAATTACGGCATTTACCAACTCAGGTGAGGACTAAAAAGCGGTAATCACATCAACTCTGACCCCAGTAATTAACGTTGGAGAAGTTGGAAGAGGCTCGGTATAAGCCGCCTTCAAGCGATCGATTGAGACCACGTCGGTGCGGCCTCCACGATCAATTGTAAAGTGCTTGTCCTTGCGCGATAGTACTCGAAATGGGCCGTCATAGGGCTGTTGTAGTGGCCGGCGAACGCTATCTACGCGGACAAATACAAAAGAACATGTTAGTAAGTTCGGGTCGACGTACGACTTACTTGTTGAAGGACGTGGAGGAGTGGCTCGAAGATGAGTCAGGGCTTGGCGCAATCTTTGCACATAATCGCTGGGATCCAAGTCGCCTGAGCTTTGAGAGTGCCCGAAAAAATCCCCGGGAATCCGTAGGGTGGTACCGTAGACAAGTTCGGCAGCGGAACACTCCAAGTCGGGCTTAAGTGCGGTACGGATACCGAGCATGACCAAAGGCAGATGCTCGCTCCAATGGGAAGGGTTGTCATGAGCTCGGAGCGAGGCTTTGAGTTGCCGGTGGAAACGCTCGACTAAGCCGTTGGATGAGGGGTGGTATGCTGTCGTGCGTATGCGAGAACATCCGAGGAGGTTGGTAAGGCTGTTAAAAAGTCTAGACTCGAATTGTTGGCCTCGATCGGTGGTAATAGTTTAGGGGACGCCATAATGAGAGATCCAGTGTTCCAAAAAAAGCATGAGCAACGGAATCTGCAGTTATGTTAGGTATGGGAGTTGCAATGGGCCAACGAGTAAATCGGTCAATCGCAGTAAGTAAGTAGTTGCAACCACGAGATGTTGGAAAGGGACCTACCAGATCGATATGAACATGTGAAAAACGTGCGTCGGGTGCGAGAAAAGTGCCAATGGAGGCTTTGTTGTGCCGTCCGACTTTGGCCTTCTGACAGGCCAAACATGAACGGGTCCACTGGCGGATATCAGTGTTCATGCTTGGCCAAACGAACCGCTCGCTAACTAGGCGCTGGGTAGTGCGGATGCCAGGGTGAGCTAGATTGTGCAACGCGGCAAAAACATCTCGTCTCATCTCGTTTGGCACTACGGGTCGGGAGGCACCGCGCGATACGTCACACAAGATTGTACCGGGAGTGGTGGAAAGAGGAATGGCTTCGAGTTGGAGACTAGTGTGTTGAAGGCTGTCACTAAAAGTTGGCTGATTTTGCAGTTCTGCCATGCGCTCCAAATCGATGGAAGGGCGGGTGATGGCATTAATGCCAGGCCGAGAAAGACAGTCAGCAACTTGATTATAAAGGCCTTTAAGAAATCGAATGTCGGTGGTATACTGAGAAATAAAATCGAGATGGCGGGCCTCGCGGGGTGAATACTTGTCAGAAGAAGTAGAAAGGGCATAAGTAAGAGGCTTGTGGTCAGTATAAATACAAAAATCTCGGCCCTCAATATAATTACGAAAATGCTTAATGGCTAAATAAATTGCAAGCAGTTCTCTACCAAAAGTGCTACAGCGAGTTTGTGGGGGTGTCAATTTGGCAGAGTAGAAAGCCAAGGGCTGGGTGCCAGTGGGCGTCTGTTGCTGAAGGGCCGCACCTATAGCGAAATTAGAGGCGTCGGCCACAATGGAAAGTGGGGCATCAGGTATAGGGTGAACAAGGACAGTTGTATCCGCAAGAGCCTTCCTCGCACGATTGAAAGCCTCAACAGCTGTGTCAGGAAAAGAAAACTCACGGTTGTTCCCGCGTAAAAGGCTAGTAAGTGGTAGCATTAATTGAGCACAATGAGGGATGAAACGTCGATAGAAATTGACAAGGCCTATAAAACGGCGCAGTTGTTGAAAAGAAGTGGGAGTAGGGAAATCGCGAATAGCTGAAACTTTGGTATCTATGGGATGACAACCAGAAGCATCTACGCGATGTCCTAGGAAAAACAGCGACTGTGCGTCAAAAACGCATTTAGAAACATTAATGAAAACGCCAAATTGGCTCAATCGTTCAAAAATGAGACGCAAATGTTGTAGGTGCTCGTGTTCACTGGAACTTGCTACCAGAACATCGTCGACGTAGACAAAAACGAACGGTAGATCGCGGAGGGCTTCGTTGATGAAACGTTGAAAAGTTTGGGCGGAGTTGCGTAGCCCAAAAGGCATCCTGACAAACTCGAACAGACCGAACGGTGTTGTAATCGCCGTTTTGGGAATGTCTTCTGGAGCAACGGGTATCTGATGGAAGGCTTTGACTAAGTCAATGTTGGAAAATATTGTCGCTCCAGCTAGGCTAGATGAAAAGTCGTGGAGATGGGGAAGTGGATACCTGTCAGGCACAGTGGAGGTGTTTAACCGTCGGTAATCCCCGCATGGGCGCCAGTCAACGAGAGACTTTTTGCACATCATATGTAGAGGTGCAGCCCATGGACTAGTGGAAGGCCTAACTATGCCTAGCTCCATCATGTGACTGAATTCAGCCTTGGCTATGGCCAACTTATCGGCGGCTAAACGACGGGGACGGCTAAACACGGGTGGTCCAGTAGTTGAAATATAATGTACAACAGAATGCTTGATGGGTTGGTTAAATTGTGAAGGTCGTGTGATAGATGGAAATTCCGAAAGTAAACGATAATAGGGAGTAGAGGAAGGGATTGTTGAAATGCGTGGATTAGGTGATGAAAGGGTACGAGTGGAACAATTACAATGTAATGAAGTCTTAGGATCAAATAATTTATGGGACTTAATGTCAACGAGGAGACCGAAAAAGGATATAAAATCAGCGCCAAGAATGGAAGTATGGACATCAGCGATAGTAAATAGCCAACGAAATGAACGTCTTAGACCCAAATCTAGTGTTAGGGATCGTTGACCAAAAGTTTTAATAGAAGTATTGTTAGCTGCTTGGAGGAAAAATGAAGAATTTGGTGACTTACGGTCAGTCAAGGTGGGTGGAATTAGACTGATCTCCGCACCAGTATCCACGAGAAAATTACGACAGGAAGTCCTGTCATAAATGTGGAGTAAGCGACTGGGAGAGGATGTGCCGACCACGTTCGTCGCCCTTACTGGTCGGCAGGGGAGTTTTCCGACGCGGGTGTTTTATATTTGCACGGAGAGTGGCAGCGATGGGCGCTAGAACCATAATTGTGATGATACCAACAGAAACCATCAACTGTAGGTTTGTTTGGAGTGGGAGATCTCGGGCGGCGAGAAATTGCAGGACTACGAGGGTTATAGACGCGAGTGGCCCGGAGTTGGGAAACTTCGAGAGTGAGGGCATCCAGGCGTTTGACGACATCCTCGATTGTGGGGGCAGTTGTGCTTCGACTGGCGACGTTAACCGTAACAGGAGGCTGGTAGTACTCGAGTATACGGTCAGCAGTCTCCGCGAGCATCTGAACAGTCGACGAAGGAATGTTAGGCGCAAGGATGGCTTGCACAGAAGGAGGCAACCGTTGGAGGAAAAGTTGCTTGAACATGGTGGCATCCAGCTTTTGTCCCTCTGCCAACTGCTCCAAACGCCTAAGAAGCTGCGTAGGCTTCCTGTCACCGAGGTCCTCCTCAGAAATTAAACGCTGGAGACGTTTTTGCGTTGAGAGGGAAATGCGGGAAATGAGGGCCTCCTTTAGGGCAGTATAAGGGGCTTCTGTGGGCGGGCAATCTATGATGTCGCGGAGGTCGGTGGCGATGTCCATTGGGAGTGCTGCCACAACATAGTGAAATTTGGTATCCTCTCGTGTGATCTGACGGAGGGCGAATCGTGACTCTACAGTGCGCAGCCATAACGCGATGTCACCGAGCCACACGGATGGCAGGTCAAAAGTGTGAATGCCGGCTATCGGCTGGCTGCTAGAATCGCTGGACATAATTAGCCGGGGTCGGTCAGAGGTCAGATAAATGGGGTAGAGGACTGGCGCGTTGACAGAGAGATTGAAGGGTAGCGCTCGTATTGGACGAAAGGGTGAGACAGTGTGGATAGCAAATAAGGGCTAGATGAATAATCTGATCGATAAAAATTAGAGTGAGGATTAATCCGAATGGAAATAGTTATGCACAGAGATTAAACAGAAGGAGCTATGAACGATATAGGGTCACCAGTATAAGAGACAAACCCACTAGTTGGGCACAGCGAGTAGGCTATCCAGGAAACGAAAATAGCAGTATCCCAACAGTTACAAACTAGTAAATAAGAACAAAGTCGTCAGCAGGTAAACGTGCACGTGCGTGTTCTTTGTCTTATTCAAAGTTGTGTCAAAGCGCATTGTAACTGATTAAAACAAAACAGATTTAAATGTTACTACAAAGGTATCATCCACATACCGTGCCCAGAACTTCGGTTTGTGGTGTTGTTCAACCGTCGCAAACCACGATGCCCCCCCCCGAGGCCAGTGGGGTGGGCTCAGCGACAGTGACTCTTCCGCATGAATTAGTTTTTGGTAAAGCAGACTTGCGCAGCATCTTCCTCACTCAACCACCTTTCTCTGGCGGTAAAACGGTGTCAGGACGACTAGATGTGGGCCCGGGTGAAACGGCTACTAAAAGTAGGTCGTCTGTCTGGGTACACCAAACACACACGACTGGCACCTCGTTACATCCACCAGAATACTGTAAGGACGGTTCGAATCTCACATGACCAAGCTGTCTCGGGAACCTTCCCAGCAGCAAGGGTTCGCATATCATTCTCCACTAACGGGGAGAAGGCAAGGATAGGCTGCCACCTCAGACCGCCTCAATGTGCATCTACTCATTCACTTGCTCCTGTGGAGCAGGTTGTATTGGTCGTACGAGACGGCGCCTTTCCAAAAGAATACGAGAGCACCTTCCCGCATGGCTAGCAAAGGGTGAAACTAGGAGAATAGACAGCGCCATCCTTGCGCATGCAGTGGACTCAGGGCATCGTGTGGACCCCACTGAGGCATTTCGTGTGATTTACAAGGTCCCCTCGAGCTGCCCTAAGCTACTGGGCCAGCGCCTGTTAGCAACAGCAGAAGCGGCCGCCATAAGGTTATGAAAACCGACCCAATGCGCCCAAAAGAACCTTGTTCAGGCTCCGCGCTTACCGTGGTCAAAGGTTGACTAATTACATACAACTTTCGGCGCCCTTCCGCTCTTGCCGAGCCTGTAATTTAAAACCTAACTTTTATCGATTTTGTTTCACTCACTGTACCCCGCCCTATGTAACTGTATTGGTCTGATGAGAATTTACCGAAAGGAACGTTCACTCGCCACTCTCTCTTCTGAACCTTATAAGTCACGACTCTTGGCTTGCCTCTATGGAGCCACCACGAGTACTCCTAATGCTATCGGCAGGAGAATTGATATTATTACCAATGTAATTTTACCCTTCTTCCTTAATGTTATTTTGTTTGGATATGGTAGCTCCAAATGCCGATGAAGGCCAAAACCAATTAACTGACAGCCGTTCCCTGGCAGGCTTCTGCACTGACAAACGATGATTTGAAAAGCAAATACAAGAGTTCCAAGGTGAGACCGAATT